AAGCGGAGGTTGCAGTGAGCTGAGACTGGGTCACTGTGCTCCAGCCTGGGTGACAGAGTGAAACTCCATCTCAAAAAAAAAAAAAAAGAAATTAAAGTAGTAAGCACACCTGTATCCCACCACACACGCGCATACAGAACTCCCGAAGCCCCCAGCATAGCAGCATTCACAGCATCCACATACCAGACCGGCGGGGAACAGAAAATCCACATGATATGTAAGTTGTTTCAGAAAAAGAGCAGTTGAGGGAAAGTGGGCCCACCCATTTTATGAAGCTAGTAGGCAGCTAGAAAGGGGAACACAAGCAAATTGGAAGCCAGTTTTATAAAAATCTTGACGTATCAGCTAACCAAAATCCAACAGAATACCAAGGTCACATAAAGTTTGTCTCAGGAATATCAGAAGGGTTCGAATTAGAAATTTTAACACAGAAATTCACCAGGTTCAAGAAGAAAGGTCAAGTCATCATGGCATCATGGGGGCTGCGCATGGTGGCGCCTGCCTGTGGTCTTGGCTACTTGGAGGTTGAGGTGGCAGGATCACTTGAGCCCAACAGGTCGAGGCTGCGGTGAGCCACAATCACACCACTGCTCTCCAGCCTGGGTGGCGCCGCGAGCCCCTGTCTCAAAAAAAACCCAAAATTTTGTAATCATTATATTGATGTAGAATATGGCATTCAGTGACATTTAATATACTTATGATTTAAAGATTTTTTAAAGTAGAGAATAAGGGCGAGAGGGCATTTTCCTAACTTGGTAAGGACTGTCTTCCTCACACCCACGGCCGGCGGAACAGAGAGCCTGCCCGTGACCTCCCTCTAAGGTTAGGAACTTCCATATTACCCCGGGAGTCCTGGCCAATGCAACAAGGCAGGAAAAAGAAATCAGCCCTTGAGGAGCTAGATCAAGGGAGGCAAAGTCACATTCCTGTGTCTTTCATGATAATGCTTAATGTTGAATTCCCCAAATAAACGACAGCTAACTATTAGTACTAATCAGGGCTCAACAAGGGGCCCAACACAAAGAAGTCAATAGCGTTTTTTTGTTTTTGTTTGTTGGACGGAGTCTCGCTCTGTCACCCAGGCTGGAGTGCAGTGGCGTGATCTTGGCTCACTGCAACCTCTGCCTCCTGGGTTCAGGCAATTCTTCTGCCTCAGCGTCCTAAGTAGCTGGGACTACAGGCGCACGCCACCATGACTGGCTAATTTTTGTATTTTCAATAGAGACGGGGTATCTCCATGTTGGTCAGGCTGGTCTGGAACTCCCGACCTTAAGTGGTCTGCCCTTCTTGGCCTCCCAAAGTGCTGGGATTACAGGTGTGGGCCACTGCGTCCCACCGCCAATAGCATTCTTTAAAGCCAGTAAAAATACAGGGAAGACATTATTTTCCAAAAGAACCAAAATTATACAATATTTAAGAATTAATCTTGAAATCCACCTCTGTTTTGTGAGAAAAAAACCAAAACCAAGCAACCTGAAATCTTGTTCCAGGCCATGTTGGAACACGGGGCTAGGGGCTGCCGCCAGCCCGGTGTGGAGGGGCGGTGGGGGGGCCGCCGCTGCACTGGGCCCACCTTGCTCTGGCGGCACTCACCGGGTTCCAGTGCCCATATTCCTGCGGCTCTGGCAACCCAGGGGAGGCTCTGGGCCGTGGCAGGTGTCGCGGCCCCTCCGGGCCTGCCTTGCACCCCAACGGGCCAGTGCTACATTGAGCTGCCCTGGCCCCCAGCACCACATGGCCCCCTCCGCCCCCCCCATAAGCAGTGCTGGGACCTGGCTTTCCTGTGGCAGCCCCTCCCACCCCTGCTGAGCTATGTGGCTCAGGGACAGGAGCCCTGGCTGCTCAGCCCTACAGCTCGGTCGCGGGTCAGTGGGCCGTGCTGGTGCTCTCTGCTCAGACCTCCAGGGCCTGAGCTCCTGAGATGCCGGGTGCTGACCAGGCCTGCCTGGGTTCTGCCTAGCCATCCGGCCGGGATGCCAGGGCCTGCTGGAGCCTGCCCGCCCAACGCCTGGCTCAGCCAAGCTGCTTCAGGTAGGGGTGTGTGTGTGTGTGTGTGTGTGTGTGTTATAGAGAGTTGGGAGGCAGGGGGCAGGGGTTAGACCTGCAAGGAATGGAGTCAGCTCCCCTCTGAGCCTGGAGGGCAGCTTGAGCTTCCAGGAGGGCTTGGAGGGGACAGGCCCAGGGCGCCTCCCTTCTGTTTAGCCCCCTGGGCCTTGAGTGTGACATCAAGTCAGTCACTCCCCTTCTCTGGGATGCTGCACCCCAGTTATGGGCTGAGCATCTCATTACGCAGGCCCTTGCCGAGGGCTCTTCTTGCTGTGGTTCAGGGAGACACAGTATCTGACTTAGGCCCGGGGCTGGGAATGGCAGGGCCCTGAAACCCAGCTGGGGAAGGCCAGAGAGGCAAGGGCTTCTCAGCTGATTCAGACACAGGCCAGGTCAGGGGCACGAAAGCAGGTGTGGAGCTGTATGGGACTCAGAAGGGGAGAAGTGGCAGGACACGGTTTGCAGAAGCAGTGACACCTGAATTTCAGCATGGGGGCAGAACGGGGGTGAGGGGACCAGTAAAGAGCTAAGCGTGGCCTGGTGGAGTGTGGGCTCTATTGAGGTTGTGGCCACAACAGGATCTTGGGTTTGATCTTCCAGGCACTGGGGAGCTATGGTGTGCTTTAGAGCAAAGGAGGGGCATGTCAGATGTGTGTTTGAGATGCTCTCTTGGCAGCCAGGATGGAGTCAAGGTGAGGTGGGAACCCTGGAATGGGACAGGAGAGGTGAGGTCAGCACTGGAAGAGGGGCCAGCAGTGCTCAGAGTGGACAGATGCTTAGGAGGTGGAATTGATAAGGGAGGGAGGGAAAGGGTGGCTCCAGGGTCTGGACTGCCAGGGGAGGGGTGCCTCTGAGAGATGGAGGTCCGGAGGCCACTGGAGACCCACGTCGCACTTTGGAGAAGAGTTGGGGCTGGGGACAGAGGCATGGGGTCTGTAGCACAGAGATGGAGATCATGCTGTGGGCATCATGAGGTGTCCAGGAGGAAAGATCAGATCCCAGGTGAGGGAAGAGGGCTCAGGGAGAGGGTGAAGAGTTGTGGGCAGAGAAGAGAGGAAGACCTCCCTGGGGTGCCCATGGGACGGGAGCCAGGTGGGCCCTGGGCGTGGCCACCAGGATGTGGATGGTGGCTGCACCCACACAGGTGGCCTGGTGGGCCAGGACCAGGCTGCATGGGCTGAGAGTCTGTGACCTCTGGGACCCCTGGGTCTGCCTCTGTGGGGCCCTAATCCTGGGCTCACAGACCTGCCAGCCTCTGTGGGTGCTGGCCTGTGCCTCGCGGGCATGGCTGGTGCAGGCTCCAAGGAGGACTGGCAAAGCCTGGAGGTGGCCCAGGGGAAGCTGCACAGGCAGAGGCTGTGCTGGCAGTTTCACCGTGGGCACCAGTACCGGCTCCCTCCCCGGAAGGGCATCTGCTTCCCTGAATGCATGCTGAAGCCCCCCGTGGACCCGTGGCAACTGGAACTGGAGCAGAACTCAGCCTCTAGCCTCCAACCTCCTCCATGACTTGGCCAGGGAAGAATGCCCAGTACTCCCTGGATGGGGAGACTGAGGCTAGGGAAGGGGCTTAGGCATTGGCAGCAGATCGGGCTGTGTCTGGGTCCCTGCCCACGGCGTGGAGAAGCTGTGCACACACGCAGATTCCTTTACGAGGATCCAGCCCCTTCGCCTCCCATGGGACACACCAATCCCACAGCAGTACACCCCCGCAACCGCAGCCCGAGCTCCTTGCCCACACCCAGCAAGCTGGATCGCCAAGCTCTGGATAGCTCTGACCATCAGCTCACCATGCCCGAGGTGGGCAGTGCCCTGTGAAACAGCGCGATGAGGCCCAGAGGTGCAGGGGAATCCTCTGCAGCGTCGTCAGGCCCTGAGCCGCCGATCCTCTGTCAGAGCCACTGCCTCCCAGCCTCTGGGTGTGGTTCCCCTCCTCATCTGCCCAGAGTATGTCCCGCACAGGAACCTGGCTGGCTCCTTGAAGGCACAGGGCCTTCTTCCTCACAAGCAGCAGCCTCCAGGAGGTCCTTTCCAATCCATGGAAGTTCGTCCCACCCTCTGTCTGGGGAGGGGGGGCGGGGGGGCGATCTCTGAGCAGGCATTGCTGGAGCTAAAAATTGGGTGAGGAGCCTGAGGCACAATGTGGCTCTGGAATGGCCATCGGGGGCCACCTGTGTGCGACCCATGCACCCCGGGAGCACACATTTTTACCCTTGTGCCACCGCCGGAGTCGCCTGACCCCCACCTTGGAGGGATGTATCTACCCCAGTGAGGCTTGTCAGACTCATTCTGGAGCTTCTCAAGGGTGTGAGGTCAATTTGGCCAAGAAGCGCTCCCTGAATGTCAGGCTGCCTGTCAGGAAGCACTGCCAGGCCCAGTGAGACGTGGAAATTCAGCTGCAACACCCAGCCTGAGCAGTGGAGCAGCACTCGGGGTAAGCGAGGGCCGTCCAGGAGAAGGAAGAATTACAGCCTCCCCCATTCCTCAAGGACAGCGTACAAGGCAGGTCCTGCTGTGAGGAAGGTGCCTTTCTGTGCAGATGAGGCCAGAAAATGTGGAAGGGGCTGGCCTAAGCCACGCAGTTGCTGTAGATCAGGGCCAGGGGCCGAGCCTGCCCTTCCTTCTGCCCCACTGCCAGGTGAAGAGTTCAATGTCTGTTTAAATCTACAGAAAAGGGTGAATAGGAGAGTTGAGGACTGACCAAACTTCTGGCGGTTAATTCCCTGGGAAACAGCACCAAAAGAGAGATAATAAAGGAACCAAAAGAAGAAACCACACAGGAGCAGATGGAGGAGCTAACTGCGTAAAGAACTGAGACGGCACGCAGGCGGGCTGAGCATGGCAAGTGGGAAACTTCTCTAACAAGTGTGTCATGGCAGATCACCTTCACCTGAGAGGAGCGTGCATGCATGAGGGCAGCCTCTCAGCAGCGACACCCACCATAGAATGCTGACGGCTCAAACCTGACGGAAGTTTATTTAGGGCACGGAAAGCCGGAAACAAAGGCTTGACTGGCGGCAGCTCTGCAGCAGGTGGAGGTCTGGGGGCCCAAGATCCTTTGTAGGCCCCCCTTGGTGTGGACCGCAGCTGCAGACAGGAGAGGCAGAGAGGGCACATGGAGGTCTTAGGGTCTGGCCTCGGGTGATGTCCATCACACCTCTTGCTGTTGGTGAGAGCTAGGTACTCGGGCCCCCAGAGTGCAAGGTGGAGCTGGCATGGTGTGCAGACCAACTAGTAGGATCTTCCCTCAAGCTCGGAGGATAATGCTCACGTGGAAGTGTAGCTGGCAACCAGGCATCTGGGAGCACGCACATGCTCGATCCTTTTTAAAGAAATTCAGGTTCCGAAACTAAACACCATTAAAAAATAAACACCAGCCAACACAATCAAGATTGGAAGGTCTATGGTGAGCCCGCTGATGGAGCATGAAGCTGGCCAAACTCTGGAGGGTGCTTGATGTTACCTATGAAGAATCCGAAATCCAGGGCCGGGTGTGGTGGCTCATGCCTGTAATCCCAGCACTTTGGGAAGCCAAGGCGGGTGGATCACATGAGGTCAGACGTTCAAGACCAGCCTGGATAACAAGCTGAAACCCCGTCTCTACCTAAAAACATAAAATTAGCTGGGTGTGGCGGCACATGACTCCATCCCAAACAAACAAAGCTGGGCGTGGTGGTTCACGCCTGTAATCCCAGCACTTTGGGAGGCTGAGATGGGTGGATCACCTGAGGTCGGCAGTTCAAGACCAGCCTGACCAACATGGAGAAACCCTGTCTCTACTAAAAAT